TATATTCTTACTTATTTAATTTTTTAAATAAAATTTACGATAATCAGACTTTCTGTTACTCAATTGTGCATTAAGATTGTGTTTATTTAATTGTACGTCAGGTTATTTTTTTACATTTTAGTGTAAATAATCTTATTTAATAGCCTAGATTTATATAAATCCAAGTAAAAGGCTTTAAAATATTTTAAAAAGCCTTACTACCCCACGTATGCTCTAATACATCACCTGAATCAATAGTAGAATGAGTTATGTACGAAAAGAATAGGAACCAGGCAGAAAAAAAATTTAAATATTTTTTAAAAATCTTTCCATTAGCAAAATTACTTCAATTTAAAAAAAGTATTATAAAAAAATATTTCAAAAACAATTAAAAATTTCAGTTTGCCTCCGCAGCGCCATCTTGTTACAGTTTTAAAAACTAATTCGAAGTAGGTACTGTACTCTGGTTGCTTTAAAGATAAAAATAAAATTAAAAAAATCATAACCCCGAAACGAATATTATATGCCTTAGATTTAAACAGGATAATTCAATTTAATAAAATGGGAAAGAACGGATGATGAAAAAAGAACTATTACTGTTCCATTTCTATTTTATTCACCTCACTGATACAAAGGCGATGATTGTACAATTGTATGCTCCGTTTCTGTACACACATTCAATAAATGGTCGATGAGGCAGCAATAAAAGCAAATGTTAGTCGAAAAATGAGAGAAAGACCGCTCGACTAAGTTGATAGAAACTGGAAAGACGATGGTTACGAAGGAGACATTCTCTTGAGATTCACGCTACTGGAAAGGGACGAAATACGTAAAGGAAAGAAAGGAATAAAAAAAGGGAGGGAGACTCGGCTAGAGAGAAGAGAGAAGGGGGCAAAACTTATTTCCGGCCAGACAAAAGGAAGAGCAGAAAGCACAGCATCCTACCGATCGATAACATCTAATTGTACGCTGGCTCCATCTAACGGTTCCCAAATAGACTAAACTATCTCATCGCTTTTAAAACCATTTTTTAATCATAAATAACCAAGCTATTCCGCTAAAACTAAATTTTAAAAAATGTTGAATTAATATATGTATTAAAATTCCCTTAAAATACTCACGCTAAGCAAAAATAACTAAAAAAAATTAATTAATGACATGGCGCCATCTATTAGTGACGACCGAGACATAATTTATAACTTTTTTGTTGTTGTTGTTAAGTTTTATCTTAGTAGATTAATGGAAGATTTCTAAAATTTGTGCAAAATTTATTTTTTATTAAAAAAAATATATTATTAATTTATAAGGAATTTAAGCTTTCGACCAGTTTAAAATAATATAAAAAATTGCGCCATCTATTAGTAAAATTAAGAATCTTTTTCCGAATAAATTATTTTAAAGGTAATTGATAGACTGGTAATACATTACAATGCTAAGGAGGGAAAAAATTTAATTTAAATTTTTCCCCTATTTTTCCTCATTTGTATCATATTTTTTATCGAAAATTTCTATCAATACATTAACTTATCGATGAGGAAGGAAGGAAGGAAGGAAATGGTGTTTATAATCGGAGGAGGGGAGAGAGAAAAAAATTAAAACATGACCTTATATAGTACACCGAACGTAAAGCGGGTCAAATTAACCATACAGATAAGGAAAAATTCAGTTTAAAACCATAAATTGACGATAAAATATTTAGTTTAATGATCTGCAATGTTTAGCAAACACCAGAGAAAAAAAAATGAGGGGAGAAAAAACACCCCATTTCGATATAGAAGAAATTTCTATTGTGAGTAATAGCAATGTTTCAATTGAGAAATCACCCCGAGTGTGGTCGGAGGGACATTTCTTTAAAAGTATTTTTTTCTTCTTCTTCCCCCTCAGGTTTATTTGTATAGTTTCTACTCTACGTGTCCCAACCCAGGACTGACACTTTCTGAAAAGAACTGCAGGAAATAGAGGAGGCCCTTAAGGCTATCGACACTTCCCTTTGCGGTAACACTCGAAAGGCTAAAAAGAGAGGAGGGAGGGAAGAAAAAAAAATCCACTATCACCTCCTCCTCCACCTCCTCCCCTGTAAAATGCTTATGGGAGAGTTACTAGGCCTCATATTCCTCTGGTACTACTTTCAACAGCGTAGTCACAGATGAGCAAATTGCCAGAGGCGAATTGACACACACACACACAATCCAGAATATGACCCTGTCTGGTTGCCATAACAACAGAATCTCAAGCGACCTTGAGCATGATCTCTCCATTTTGTCTCAAGTTACATTTATTGATAAGTTTCCGTATAAAACTGTGTCGCCGATTGTTCTGTTTTACTTTACTTCCGAACAACGAACGATAGGACTCTTTTTTTTTCTCTCTCTCTCTCTCCTGTGGATCAACAGTTAAATAGACGAATAGAAAAATGAAAGATTCTTTACGCATTTTTCTATAAAAATAGGATCAATTTTTCTCCTATCTTTAATTACTAAACTAAGCGCGGTTCTAATGAAACTTTTCAGGAACAGCAGGAGCATTTCGCAAGCAACACAGCCTTTTTCTCTTCATAAAATGGAGAAATTTTCCCACGCCAGTGTACAATACCGTCACGACTTTCATCTGACGTCACATTTACTCCAACAACCCTTTGTGCCCCACTATCGCGGGGTACAGAATATGGAACGTGTATGTAGGTGACGTCATGATAGAGAGGTCGATTCTTGTTTACGGAGCACCGGAATTAAATTCCAAACATTCGGGGGTGCGAAGCTTTAAATTTTCAAAAATCTTAAAGCGGAAGTCAAGAACCGTGCAAGGTCGAGTGAACGATCCTTCAGGTAATGCCCCGGAGGAACTAGAGAAGAAAAAAAAAACTTAAAGCGGATTTAGTCAATCACGTGATTCTACAAAAGGACACGACAGGTTACTGGGCGATATTCCGCAAACATATAAAACAACAAAAAAAATGAATACTAAGAATAATTTACGATATTCACACACGAAAATCAGATTTTTAAATAAAATATTTAATTTTCTTCTACAAGGTTTTACCTAACTCGGTTAAAAATAAACTGAATTTTCTCACATGGCGTACGGGTTAAGGCTAGTTTACTGTGTTACGAACATTTAAAAAAAATGATGCCGAAAGTTCGAACTGTTCTTAATTAAATCTAAAAAAAATCACAAAATTTTCTCATCGCAATAGAAGAAGAGTTGAAAATTTGCAGAATTATTATTATTAACAAAATATACATCATCTCGATTCAATTAGAATTGCCAAATTATATTTACAGTAGAGCGTCGTTTATCCGAAGGTCGGTTATCCGAAGAAATTCCAGTCGACAAATTTAAATTTTCGCCAGTGCTGTGGCGCTGTAATCTTTGGCTGTGTCTTCGGCTACTCAAATATTTTACGTTTTTGATACTAAATTAACTTCCGAAGTATAATTTTTTATTGTTTTTATATTTTTCAATATATTTATTTTGTTTGTACAAAATAAAAAAATAATTTTTAACGATACAATAGTCTTCGTTAGGCTTAACATCGACGAAAATTCAACGCGAAGCGACACGCAACGGAGAAAAATTTCAACACGGGATAAATTAATATATTTTTTCGTACATAATTGGTTATCCGAAAAATAAGTTATCCGAACAACCCCAGTCCCCAATTGATTCGGATAAACGACGCTCTACTGTATTAGGCTATATTAAGGCTAATTTAATAATTACGTATGAAACAATTTGGGCTAGAGGTAGGCGGTTAGATGTGCCATCTCGTGATAAGTTTACTAATCAGAGATAAATTAAATTTTTAATTTAAATTTGGAATATTCTGGACAAAAAGATCGGCACTCGAACCCGCAACTCCCGCTTGCCGAGTAGATGCGTTGTCAGTTAGGTTACCCGAGCCGATTATTCCTAAAACGAGAATAAATCTCGATTTTTCTGATATTCTGTAAAAGTTCAAGCTTAGTTCTTGATAAATACTTTATATCAAGAATATCTCTCGATTCGTTTTCCGCTTAAAGTATATCCATTTCTTTAATTACTTCGAAAAAATATCCATATTAATTTTTAGTTTCTAGAGCTAGTTTCAAGAAAACTTGATTCTAGATCTTACTCTCTAGAATTTAATTTTTAAATATCAGATTCAAGAAATCCAGAACCATTTACATTTATTTTTTATTTTTTAAGAATACTCAGACTCATCTTTAATTCTTCACGAAAAGTTTACTCTTTCTTATATTCCAGACAAATCTAGAAAATCCAAACTCACTCTAAGCTCAAGAAAACTTCAAGAAAAATCTAAGTTCAAAGTTTGTTCAAGAAATCCAGATTCAATTTTTTTAAAAAAGATAATAGAATTTTTCAATAAATTATGCCAAAAATTGATTTACTTTACTAATTATTCTTGCACCAAAGAGGGTTAAAAGTGATTCCATTTTTCTGTAAATTTAATCAATTTAAAATTCTCTTAGATATTTTCGGACATAAATTCGAATCTTGAATTAAATCAAATTAAAATTTAATTGAAAATTATCGAATTAAAACTCACTCATTCATCGATCGTCACATGATTCGAACTCGCTAAACAAAGCACTGAAATTCAAGAAAAATCTAGATTTTTCTTGAATTTCGAAACAAAATTCTATAACGCCCGCATTTTTAATCTATAACAGTATATCACTAACACGAAGAAAATGATCTGCAAAGTAAAAAAATACCGAGTAGAGATAATAATCGCTAACAGATGATACAGCAATCTATAAGACTGTAGACGACAAAATGCCAATAATTGTTATTTTTCACGTTACGTTATTTATTCTAAACAATAATTTTATTTTTTTAAAAAAAATATATATTATTATTTCTAAGAAATGATTAAAATTTCTTTATAAAATTTAAATATTCTAATTTTATTTCCAAAAGCACACCCTTAACGCGGAGTTCAACCTTTAACATAAATAAAAAGTCAATTGGTTACAGCGAGCTTTTGTAAATTTACAAGTAAAATTGGATAATTAATTTACCTCTGAGGCGGAAGGTTCTTCTGGAGGGGTTGATACATCGCACCTGTCTGTTTATTAGGACTTTCTCCACCCGTGCGGCACTTCTGATGCCGCAGTAGAAGCAAACGGCCTAACTCTTCACACCAAACCGAAAGTAAAGCTGTAAGAAGAGAGGGAGGGAGAGAGGAAAAAAAAAAAAAAAAGAGAATCAAAATTATTATCCTCAAATATGTTATCGTCCTATTTCTTTCCAACTGTTCACTCTCTAACAACGACTTTAACCGGGGGATCAGTTTTTATTCAATAGAGATCTACAGTAGTGAAGTGCTGGCACTCGGTTGAGTTACAATCCCAGACAAAAAGCAGGGATCGTTTTAAAGCTGTAGAAAACCATCCATTGGATTGAGTTCTGTTTACATCAGAGAATTCTTTCAGATCCTCTGCGGCTTCGGTTGAGAAAAAGTAAAATACTTTAGGCTCAAAGGGACTTTTCCTGGCAACAGTAACAGAGAATTGAAGTTACATTTTCGTCTGCCATATAAACGTTATACCTATATTTACCCTTCATAAATGAAGACCTTGTGATAAAATCGCTTGATAACTATGGAAATTTGATAAGGTTTTTTTCCTTTTTTTATTATTAATTGGTTTAAAATAGTAGCGCCGATACTCTAAAACCATTTTCACACTCTAAAAACCACAGACTTATATAATTAGTTTCTCACCGATTCTTCCTGTAGGAAAAACTAGTTTTTTTGTTTGTTTTTTGTTTTTAATTTCCTAGACTGGTAAGAATTTAGTAACTTTATTACTTATTTTGGAGGAAAATTTATAAATGTCTTCCAATTTTTATAAGTTGTTTTTTTAAGTAATTTAATGGATGACAACCTATTTTTAAAAACTGCTCGATTTACTCGAACAATAATTTACAATAGGTAACATAGCTTAGGGCCTCAGTAACAAGTTCAGTATATGCGTTAGGGCCTCACGCTTTCGAATCTGTTATTATTTAGTAGAGAAGGAGCAGCTATCGAATTAAAGCGACAAGTTTAAAATCCGGCTTCGTCTTTAGAGTGGCCCAGAAGTCAATTAACCACTGTGACGATTAAGCATTTTAATTTCGATAGTGTATCCCAAACGTCAAATATTTGAACAAAGATGACAATTTAATATTTACGTGGCTAATTAACTCTTAGCCCACCCTAAAGATTTAAAAAAAATACGATTAAGAGTAATTTATTTACAGGGTGGCCCAAAAGTCAGTTAACAATCGTAAGCACTCATTCTTACTCAAATACTTGATCACGTTTGCACGTATTGTACATTACAAGCGCACCTGGATAACTGATTTTTGGGCCACACGTAATTACGTATGAAACAATTTGGGCTAGAGGTAGGCGGTTAGATGTGCCATCTCGTGATAAGTTTACTAATCAGAGATAAATTAAATTTTTAATTTAAATTTGGAATATTCTGGACAAAAAGATCGGCACTCGAACCCGCAACTCCCGCTTGCCGAGTAGATGCGTTGTCAGTTAGGTTACCCGAGCCGATTATTCCTAAAACGAGAATAAATCTCGATTNAATATAAAATAAAATAAAATATAAAAAAAAAACTGTTACGTTTTCTTTTCGATTTTTAGTATTTGTTCATGTTATAAATTGAAGTGTAGCATGACTGTAGACTTAATGAGTGCGGTCTACAGGTTATCGATTGTACAGAAAACTCGCACCTGCTTTACAGTAAAGCAATATCAAAAGAAAAAGATCCCATTAAATAAACGATGAATATTTATTAAAACTTTTCTGAATTAGAAACAATTCCAAGAAAGTAAAAATGTTGTTTTAACTGGAAAATATACGATAACCGTGCGAACTAAAACACCCGCGAGAATAATTTGTAGCTCTGTAGCACGTGACCTGCACTAGCAATATGTCACATGTTCAACTTAATGTACTTATTAGCCAATTTATGTTCTCTACTTTATTAAATTGTTTAATTTTCTAACGGTGACGTCAGGATAGAAAATGTTGGCTTTATTTTATGATGCCAAGCATGCGTGTTGTGGATTCGAAAACGTTTTGTTTATAAACTGGGGAGGATGTTTATGACGTACTTCCGCCAATCACACGTGAGAAACTGACCCCGGGGACAAAAAAAGATCGCTTAAAAGATTGACCCTCTTCCGTTTAGAATATCGTAACGCGATTTGACGTCACGTAAAAAATAATAATAATTGAAGAGTGAAAAAGCGTTTAGGCATTTTCCTGTACGTCCGATTGATGTTAAATATGGCAAAAATAAGTAAAGAAATTCAGGAAAAAATTTAAATAAAATTAATTTGTTAATTACGAATTATCTTTTTCCTTTCTTTCTTTCTTTTCTTTTAATTAATTTCCATTATTGAACGAATCGATAAAAGTTAATAGTTCTAAACCTTTACGCCAGATGGCATTTTAAATGACGTAATTGTTCTTCGGGAATTAATTACGGTGATTATTAGGAAGGGTAACAAATTAAAACTAAAGTATTTCATTTAAATTTTCGAACCAAAACAGAGGCTAGAAAAGCAGGGAGGGAAGAAAAAAGGAAAGCAATATGGTGGAAAGTATTGAAGTGATGGCGTTGAATGCAGATGAGTGCCGAATTGTAAATGGCAAAGAAGAGGAAAACGTCGAGCGCTCTTCGTCACACACGCCGCACCACCTCATACCTAAAGGGGCCAAGAGACGCCCCCGCACGCGACTAAGGGAGGTCCGGAATGTGGGGGCGGATCGAGGTGGAACACAAGACCAATTCCTGAGCCACCTGTTGTGTTACTAGATCTTTGAGTGCACTTTCCTCCATACAGAACCTAAGGTGTGACTCTTCCTTTCATCTGTCACTGCAACGGTAGCCACATAAAAAAATATTCCTTAAGGGTTTTCCTCTTACATTTGTGTCTAGAACATTGCGAAATTCGCCGAATTTTTTTCCTACTTTCGACTTGACCGAATGCTAAAGGAATGGTTAAAAAGCCCACCAACGAAAAGTGACCTTGAATCTCTCTCCTCTGACATTCCTCTGTGGGTCGTCAGAGGTCAGGAGGAGGCAAATTGGTCCCTAATGTGTAAGGGGAGAGGGCGTGTAAAGAAGAACAGGGGAAAGAAGTTTCCCATCGACAAGAATCGCCGAGATTTTCTTTGACACCGGAAGCAATATCGATAAACTATTGAAATTCAATAACAACCAATCATATTTTTATTTACTAAAGTATCGAATGAATTCATACAGGCGTTTAAAATAATAAAAATGGTGCTGATTAAGACAGAATGATCTAATTCCTGCATTCCATAAATGACCAATTAGCTTCTTATTTACATAAACAGTCAATGAGTCACACACAAAAAATTGACCGGTGACACTAATTCAAAGTGTGCCAATTATATTCGTGTTTAGAAAATATTCTAACACTTCACACTATACTCTTTCTAAGTCCAAATCCTAATTGGTTACCACCAGAAATGAGAACAAGAAAATTACAAACTAAAGCATATTCAACGAATATTTATTCCATTAATTAGCTATTAGCCAAATTCAAATTTTAAATATTTACTAATAGACGCTTACTGGAATACAGTATTTAAATTTAAAAAACAAAAAGTATTAATTGGACTGGTGCGCATTCATTGGTACAATTCAAATTTACATAACGAATGAGCGCCTGATTAAAAATTATAATAAAATTCCGAACTCGTTTATTGGTAAATTTATATATTTGAATTCATCAATCAAAGTTTATTGGTTAATTTAAAATTTCAAAATTAAGGCGATGACCAATCAAATTCCGGAATCGATTTCAATTATTTCTGATAAATATTTAGCGAATAATCTTAAGTTAAACTGGTTATTGTAGTTTTTTTGAATTATTTTAAGTTATAAAAATCATTAAAATTCCTAATTTTATTTTTAAAAATGATAGTAATGACGTCATCACACCTGGACGAAAAGATTGTTTTCGCTTTCACGCAATTAACCTTGCAGGTTAAAATATCTTTCTTTCTTTTATTAAACACAATACTGAAGGTAAATTTATATAAGCTTAAAAAGTAAACATTTATAACTTAACAACCATTTTGTGTTTAACCGGTAACTACGAAACAATGTTAATCATATATATATTTTTTTTTCCTTCGTTTTTTCGAATTGATCTGATAAATCGTAATTTTTATGTATAAATAAGCGATATAAATTTTAATTTGATTTTATTTTTCTCGCAGGCATTTCAAAAATAACGTTTTTACCACGAAAAACAGTTTCACTTTAATTGCTTAACACCTATTGGCTACAATTTTTTTAAAATTTTAATGACGTCAAATAACGAACCAACTTGATTGGATATTTAGATTTTTTAAATATTTTTAAATTTAATTTTATACCTAATGAAATGTAATTAAAATCAAATTTCTTTACAAAATTTTAAAATGAAAATTTGCTATTTATAAACGAAATATATTTTACATATATACTGATAATTTTATTTTTAAATATATTTCTTTGTGTACATATAATTTAAATATCTGAAAATTTATGTAATAATGATAGCTAATCAGATTCCGATATGATAAAATTAATGTAATGTTCATTTTTGTTACGTTTATTTATATATTAGGTATCATTTGCGATTTATAAGAAGAATAAAACAATTTCGAAATTTAAAAAATTTTAAATTTTCGAAACAGCCAATCATCATAGCGAATTTCAAAATTCTCTGATGTCATAACAGGTTCGCAGATTTCTTTAGAACAATGAATGCCTCAACAAAACCTAGTTGTTTAAACTATTAATCATAATTAAAAGATATTAAATAATATATTAATAGTAGACGTTCAAATTTATTTTTATTTTTACAGAAGACTATCATGACGACAGCAGAAATCTTAAATTTATTATTATTGTTATAATCCTATAATTATTTTTTTATTAAAAATATTATTATATAAATAATAAAATTGATAATTTCTGTAAGAAATATCTTTATAATAATAGATTATAATTACTAAATAAACAGTGACGTAAAACACAATCGTCATTCGTGATAAATTTAAAATTAAATGACGTCATAGGAAAGTTGAACTTGTTAAATTGCTAAATGTTTGTTTATGACGCTTTATATAACA